TCTTTTGTACTTCCCCTGTGTCTGCCTCGTTCTGGGTCTCATACCATCTGGGTTCCTCGTGCAATCCTAACAGTTTGGACATGTCCAGAGGAGGGACAGTGGGTATATTGGTAGAAGGATATTATAAATGCAGCTGCCAGGGTAAAGACGAAGAGAAAGGTCAAACAGGAGATATCTGGATGCAGTTAGAGAGGACATGAAGTTAGTTGGAGTGAGAACAAAAGATACAGAGGACAGAGTGAGATGGAAGAGGAGGAGAGGGAGAGTGAGATGGAAGAGGAGGACTCGCTGTGGAGACCCCTGAAGTGGGAAAAGCCAAAAGAAGAAGAAAAAGATAATGTTGCAACAGATAGCTTGGAACAATTAGGCTGAATAAACTGGTCCATTCTTTGAGTTAGGCGTTTTTAATGCCTAAAGGGTCTAAATTTGTTTTATGAAAAGAAAAATGATCCATTTCTTTGAAAATGGTCAAGTGAGAACTGAAAGTGAAAGTTTTTAAAAAGAAGTGGATGTCTAACAAAAATCTTGACCCTGAGAAAATCTGGAGAAGTGCAAGACAATTCAAGAAATTTAAATCTAAAGAAAACTAAAGACTTTTAGACTTTTGCTTGCATCACAAAAGTTTTATTTTGATTTCAAATGCTTATTGTCAATTATCCTGTGACGTGTACTGATAACCACTTGACCAGGTCACCCTTGTGAAAGAGATCTCGATCTCAACGGGCTCTACCTGGTAAAATAAAGGTGATTGATTGATTGAGTGATTTTTTATTCAGATTACTTCAAAAAGTCAGATCAAGTAGTCCAAAATGTATCCTTTCTGCATTATTCTTTATTTTCTGGCAAAAGGTGATGAGAGAAATTAGTACAGACATTTAATCCATGAGAACGTGACCACATTTAAAGACAATTTTTTTGTTTGTTTTTCTAAAGATAAACCTTCTCAATTCAAATGCAAAAAATCTAGTTTGAACATCAGGATCTGGTTTACCAAAAGGCCAGCATGACTGAACACAACTTCAGATTCAGTCTGCGTGGAAATGTAAAATCCTTCTGTGGCAAACTGCAGGAAGCAGCAAACTTTTGGAACCATGCAGAAAGTGTGCATGAGACAAAAACCTTCTCTGGTTCTGCCCATATGTGTAAAGGTCTTTGCGGGCCCTTGCTATAGATTGCTGTACAATAGTTTGTCAGAGGGTATACAATGAGGTGTAAGCGGTAATCTTGTTAAAATGTGGTGCCATGCCATAAGAAGGAGACTGTAAGAGGTTCACCCCCCCTCCACAAGCTCTGCGAGGTGCTGGCCGACAACTTTAACTCCTCACTTACCCTGGTCTCCAGCTACAAGTACTTGGGTGTACACCTGAATTACAACCTCAGCTGGACAACAACACCACCAGCTTGATCAAGAAAGCTCATCAGAGACTCTACTTCCTCAGGCGGCTGAGACGAGCTGGTCTGAGAAGCTCAGTCCTCCCCTCCTTCTACAGGTGTGCAGTGGAGAGCATCCTGTGCTCCAGCATCAATGTGTGGCATGGAGGCTGCACAGCTGCAGAAAGAAAAGCTTTGCAGAGTGGTGAAGGCTGCACAGAAGACTGTTAGAGTCAGTCTCCCCACCATCACAAACATCTACAACTCCAGATGCACGAAGAGGGCCACTTGCATCATGAAGGACCCCACTCACCCAGCACATACACTTTTTACCCTCCTCCCCTCAGGAAGGAGGTTGAGGAGCATTAAGTGTAGAACCACTAGACTGAGGAACAGCTCCTACCCTGATTTTGTTAGGCTCATAATTATCTAACCAGAATAATCACTGTGAAAAAAATCACATCGTGTTGCTGCTGATCTGTTTCATGTTGCTGTGTTCATGCGTATTCATCTGCTCACACAGATTCATGTTCGTGCTGCTGTTCGACATATTGTTTTTATGCTATTAGTGCTTAGTGTATATTTAGCTGATGCTTTTCTTAGTTCATATCTTAGATCTTACTACTGTTTTTCTTTTACATTTTATTGTTGGATGTAACTGGGACCCTGTGTACATAATCTCGTTCCACCACATGTAACATATAAGATGAGAATGACAAATAAATCTCTCTGAATCTTCAAATGAACAACACGGAAGCAAAGCAGTGTGGGATGAAAGCATATTTTCATAAAGGATGGTCCAGGCTTGTCTGTACTGAAAGGAATAATAAAGAAGATTTCCAGAGGATTCAAACAGGTTAGCTCTTACCTTCAATTCTTGTTGTATACTTGGTTAAGAACTTTGCTTAAAAGTCTTTCACTATGTAAAGTTTTATTTTAATTTTTTCAAATTAATATTTCATCTGAGAATGAAATGGCCATGCTCATCTCTGAGGCTCACAATGACTGTTAGCCAACACAAGGGAGGGACTTTCCAAATGTCTTGAAACTGAGTTCTCAATTTCCTTGAATGAGTCGCAAAGCCTTTCAGTCTTGTTGCTTGAGTTTTAGAAGTGTTCAGAAAATTTGCGCAACATACTTTCTCTCAAATTGTCACAGCAGTGTCATGGGAGTCTCAAACTCTTCTGATTTTTCCATAAATTCTAAAGGGTTAGAGCTGCTGTTTTTTGATACCTGCACAGGAGAAAACATCTGAGGCTAGAACTCTGAAAGTCCAGGTCCAACCACTACTACTAAACAAGATTACAGCATTAATCACATTATACACCTGCTGACAAAGTATTCAGCAATCTAACAGCAATGACCTGGACAAGAAAATACTGTGTATAACTGTTGACCTTGATTTTTGCTCTTGCCCTTAAGAGCTTGGGTGATGAAAAGACTATGCAACAGTGGTGTACAAATATGTATCAAATTTTGTTAATCTTGAGCAATCAGAAGTTATGCTCAGACAAAAGAAAGTTTAAGAAGGTATGGACAGAGACAATACCATAAGTTGTCTGTCTTTCGACTGGCCTATATTGAAAAATAAATAACTGGTGGAAACTTTATTTCTAAAGTCTACTAATCATAATCTGGGAAGGTGGGTATGGATCTTGTTGAGATGGGTACAATGTGAGTGGATGTGGACAATGACATAAAATGCACTGTCGAATACAGTTTTGCAAGCTATGCATTCAGAAATAGCCCGTGATTTTAAAACTTGGCAGCACAGCAGTTTATTGGTTAGCACTGTTGCTTCACAGCAAGATGGTCCTGGGTTCAGTCCCTGGTTTGGACCTGGGGTCTTTATGTGTGGCGTTTCCATGTTCTCCTTGGGTTTTGGCACGGGATTTCTCCAGGCACTCGGGTTTCCACCTACAGCCCAACAAGTGGGACGTGTGAATGCTTGTAGTTATCGAGATGTGTTTTTTTTTTTGAGGGAGCAATTTTATTCACAACTAGGTGCAATGGCAGAGTCAGGGGGTGGTCAATGATGGGTTTGAGCACCATAGATTAATCTTCAGCCACCCCAGTCATTTGAGGAAACTATACTTTTAAGCAATATAAAAACTAGAATGCTGTTTCCAGATAAGGGTGGCCAGTTTACAGATAAGATGCAATGGCCATCTTACATTTTGACGTGGCAATCCAATTTTCGATAATGACTTTTCTTACACCAAGATGGAGCCACAACACAAAATGGAAGTCAGTACCTCACTTATTTTTCAAGTGATCATGGTCATAACATTCGCAGACAGATAGAAAAGGGTATTTCCAATTCCTCCTCTTTGGGGAAACGGGACAAAGCACACATATGACAAACACTACCTTCAGGCCTCCCTTGCAAAAGAGATCTGTAATCTCCATAGGACTTGCCTGGTTAAGTAAAGGTTAATAAATAAATGTTGCTGCTCAAAGTGCATCAGCACAGCTGTCTGGTCGCAAACATTCAGAATTTAGTGAGACTGCAACTGACAATTGACTGCATGTTTCACAATGTTGCGTCACCAGCTCCTCTGACTGTCCCAGCTCAGTGAGATATGGACCTAACAAGTTTGTTAACTAAGCAGAAAAAACAGCATTGTGGTGATTTTAGACAATAGTTAAGTGATCATTCAAGGGCAGTGATGATACAGGGCTGGTGTTTTTCGTGTCAGTGGAATTTTTCACCTTTGATGAAGACAGCAGGAAGCTCAGCTGTTATGTCCTGGGTGATTCCCAGCGCGTGCCAAGGGTCGATGGACCCGTTGGGGAAAACTATTCTGCTAGAGTGGATAACATAGCCTCCGTAGCACTCATTGGTCTGGGCGACGGCCTCTGTCACCTGCTCAGCACTGATGTTGTAGAAGGCTGCACACTGTTTCACATGATAACTAGATTTGGAGACAAAACAAAGAAAGAAAATAACAGACGAACGATGCAACAGCTGTTGAAGCTGAAGGTGAGAGCACAGACAGTGTTTGAATGGAGTGCTCACAGAAGATAAACGAGTGAGCAGGTGCAGAAGGGGATACTGAAACACAATTATGGACTTATTAAGCAGGGAGACAATATGTACTGCACTCACCCGAGAGGAAAGCCACTGAATGGTTGGTTAGGTGAATCGGTGCTCTGGTAGAATCCAAATTCAGTGCACGTCTGATAGACCCACTGTCTCCCTGAAGACACACACATACAACATTTATTCACTGCCTGCATGTTCGTCTGTTGTAACAAAGAGGTAACAGGCAGCAGGCAATGCAAACAGCTGAAATAACTTTAACAAGTGATACATTGATGTCCCCCCATCGCCGAAGGATTTGAATAAAATGTCTGTAGTTTCTGGGAAGAGTGCTTTTCTGGACTGGATTTAAACAGGGAATGTAAGTAAACCTTAATGTTTTTGGTGAAATACTGTATATTCAAGTGGGTAGGAGTTACACTGTGTATTAGAAGAGATAGTTTTTATGTTGTTGTTGTTTTGTTTTTTTTGTAGCAATTTTGTCCACGACCAGGAGGTGGCCATTGGTGGCCTTAGCCTTCATTAATTAATCTTTGCACACCCCAAGGGCCACCCTAAACACTTGAGGAAACTAAGCAATATAAAAACTAGAAAGCATAGATATAGAAAGAGTGGAATGAGGTGGGAGTCACAGCTTCCAAAACCACCACATTCAAAATGGGCTACAACTGTTGGGTTCCTCGGGTCAAGCCACTTCTGAACCTGAGTCAACGTAGGAAGCGTCTCAACTGGGCCAAGGAGAAGAAGGGCTGGACCATTGGCCAGTGGTCCAAGGTCCTCATTTCCCTTGAAAGTAAAGTGTGCCTTTTGTAGTGGATTAGGCCTGATGTCAAAACTGACCAGATGGACAGAAACTGTCATTTCATTGATTTGAATCCAGAAATACAGTTTGACCCATCCTGAGACTTTCTTTCTTGAATTAATCAAGTGGAAAAGACAATTCTCTATGATCATTACTATTTTACAAATGTTTGATAATCAAATTGTGTTAGTTCAAACAATGTTTACATGTTGAAGTGAACTACTCATTTTTATTTACTTAAACAGTAGTAATGATTTTTAGTCCTCAATTCAAAGTGAAATCAAGTTAGAGAACGTTAGAGAGTAATGATTCAATTTCTTGATTTTTCTGTCTTCAATGAGCAAAGTTGTAAGTGTGTTAAAGTTCAAGCTTCGGTCAACTAGAAAGTTTACTGAAAAGAAATGTCATGTTTAACTTTTACAGCAAGATACTGAGTAGAGACGCCACTAAGACTGGTTTTCTCCAACAATCTTTCTGTCTGTTCTTAAACAATCTTAATCTCTATCCTTGACTTTCCATAACACCTTACATCACAAACCACACCTCTGCTTTGGTCCATCGACCAATCAAAAAGCTCTCAAATGAACCGGAAGTGACCCTTAATAAAAAGGTTGGCACTTCCTAGTTCAAGGAGAAGAGTTCATGAGTTCAAGAGTTGTGGAATCCAGAGTGCAGAGAGTTTGGGAGTTCGTGAATGCAAACGCAGGCATTCATGGATGCTGCTAAACCAAACAAGCTGAACCAGAGACGATTTTGGGAATTATAACTTCTGTTTGGATAACCTCGCACGGCTCTCGAAGTATTTGGCTGTTCTCACTGAGACGCTGAACAGTGGTTGGAAGTGAGACTCCACGCCGGAACTGATCTATCTTCAGAAAAGGTAAAAGTCGACCTTCACCAAAAGTGTACTGTTTGGGACAAGCTGATTTCCGAAGGAGCGTGCACGTTCTGGTTAAAACAGACGAATTCCCTCACACATCTCTCTGTAAGATAAATCTCAATTTTCCATCTTTAAACTCTCCTTTCTGCTAGAAAATTAATCCAGATGTTTTCATTAATGTCTGTGGTGAAGCAACGGAAAACCATGGCCGTATGGTTTCCTGGTTGTAAAAGCTGATTAATTATGTTGTTGTTTTCATATTCTGCCAAATTAATGTAAATGTGTGATGTGTTAAACTTGATTCTGTTAATAAATGACCCACTCGCTTGGTGAGTCAAAGATAATTAACGTCTCACGTCCACATTTCTGTTACATTCAACGCACGAACATCACACAGTCTAGAAAGATGAGTGAACCCGTTTTAATTGATGAATATATCAGCATCTGTTCATCTACACTTTCATTCGGAAATCAAGGTACAATGGTTTGGAGGAAGAAGGGTGAGGAACAAAACCCACACTGCTTGAGGTCCAGTGTGAAATATCCACAGTCAGTCATGATTTGGGGTGCAGTGTCTGGTGCAGGTGTTGGTAAACTCTGCTTTCTTAAATCCAAGGTCACTGCAACAGTCTACCAGAATGTTTTAGAGGACTTCATGATTCCTTCTGCTGAGGATCTGTATGGAGATGCAGATTTCATCTTCCAGCAGGACCTGGCCCCTGCCCATGCTGCCAGAAGCAACAAAACTTGGTTTGATGCCCATGTCATAGTGCTTGACTGGCCAGCCAACTCGCCAGACCTAAACCTCATTGAGAATCTATGGTGTATTCTCAAGAGGAAAATGAGCGGCACCAGACCCAACAACAAAGAGGAGCTGACAGCAAGCATCAAGGAAATCTGGCTTCCATAACTCCCAGGCAATGCCACGTCACATCGAGGCAGTGATTAAGGCAAAGGGATTCCCAACCAAGTATTGAAGATTGACATATCATTTTGAATGTACCATATTTTGATTGATTTGTTGTGATCCTAATTTCTTTCTTTTTTCTTGCAAAAACTGAGAAGTGTGGGCTGATGTCTTCACAGTATTCTAATTTTTTGAAATCCTGTTTTCGTGGGTTTCATTAGCTGGAAGCCCAAATTATGTAAAAATAAACAAATAAATACTTGAAATCGTTTAAATTGTGTACCCTGAATCTATCATCTATTAAAGATTAACTTTTTGAATGCAATTATGAAAGTTAAAAAACTTTTCCACGAAAATCAAATTTTTTGGAAACCGGCCATGTTTTTCTCATTGGAAATGAACAGAGCTCTCTTCACATCCATCAAACTCTTTGTGCGGTTTAAAACATTTTACTGCTCGTTTCAGCTTTTTTCGAATTTCAGCTTTTTTTTTTTTTTATTTTTTTTTTAGCTTTTTTCTGTTAATTTAAGCTTTTTTATGCTTCTCGCAGCTTTGTTTTTGCTAAATTCAACTTATTTCTGCTTTTCCCTGCAACCTTTGGGGTGTTTCTTTTGCTAATATTAGCCTTTTTTTAACTATTAGTGCTTACTGTATTATGTATTTCTTGGTTCATATCTTAGATCTTATTACTGTTTTTCTTTACAATTTATCCTTTTGTTGGATGTAACTGGGACCCTGTGTACACAGTTTCGTTCCATCACATGTACATGAGATGAGAATGACAATAAAGAACCTTGACTTGACTTTTTCTGCAATTTATATTTGACCAATTTCTGATTGTTTTGTTTTGATTAATTTAACGTTTTCATGTTCCTTTCAGCCACTTTCAGCTATCCATCCATTATCTTTACCCACTTCTTCCTTTTTGGATCACTGGGGTCACTGGTGCCCATATCCAGCAGTCACTGTGTGAAAGGTGGGGACACCCTGGACAGGTCTCCAGTCCATCACAGAGACAAATGAGACAAACAACCATTCATTCTCTCACTCACACCTAGGGACAATTTAGAGTTACCAATCAGTCTAACATGCATGTTTTTGGTCTGTGGGAGGAAACCAGAGTACCTGGAGAAAAACCACGCATGCACAGAGAGAACATGCAAACTCCACCCAGAAAGGGCCTCAGCTGGGATTTGAACCAGCAACCTGCTCACTGATAGATGGCAGCTCTACCAACTGTACCACCCCACTTACAGCTAATTTTAGCTTATTTTCAGATTTTTTTCTGTTCATTTCAGTTTCTATTTAGTTAATTTCAGTTTTCTTATAATCTATTCAGCCTCTGCCTATTTAAGATTTTCTACATTTTTTATTTTTTTTTTATTTTACTGCCATCAGCTTTTATTTTCCTGCTTTCAGCAAATGTCAGCTGTTCAAACTCAGCGTACTTTAAAAGTTTAGAGATGAAGCCTTTTCAGCAGCTTTTGACAAATATCATTCAGCAATAAGCATTCATACAGCATTTTGGCAGGAAATGCAATTTCTCTACTTAATTTTATTTTTCAGATCCAAGTTACTTTAACAGAATAGTTTTAAATCCTAATCCCATTTTTCTGTGGGACTGCTCTTACCCACCTCCCCCAGCAGCAGGCCCGTCCCAGGACGTGTTGCTCATGTCTCTGGTGTAGTTACTGAAGCTGGCGTCCAGACACTTCTGAGAGAATGTGTCCGTCATGAGACGGGCCACGGCGGCGTAGCGGGCGTACGGATCTCCCAGCGAGGTGTTGGCCATCATACCACACAGCACCTTGATGGTTATGTTTCCTCCAACCACACCCTTTAAATACACAGGAGAAACATTTTGGATTAGTTTTAGTAAAATCTCTTAAAATGTCATTATTCATCAGGTTATATAGAACTGTGTCATAGTTACAATTGAAAGAGACATATTGGAAACAATATACTACAATATCCCTTGTTTATCACACACACCCACAATAAGTGAAAAACCACAAAGTAGGGATAGTAGTACAAATAGTAGTAGTAGTTTATTTTAGTATTATATATATTATATATAATGTCAAATGTCAATATTTTATTCGTAATATAACATAGATGACAGAT